TCTTAGCTATTGTAAATAACGCTGCTCTCTCTGAACATAGGGATGCATACATTATTTCTGATTAGTGTTTCAGGCTTCCTAGATATATTCCCAGAAGTGGAGTCACTGGGTCAAAAGGCATTCCATTTTTAATTTTTTGAGAAAACTCCATACTGTTTCCACAGTGGCTGCACCAGTCTGCACTTCTACCAGCAGTGTAGTAGGGTTCCCTTTTCTCTACATCTTCGCCAGCACTTGCTCTTTGTTGATTTATTGATGGTAGCCATTCTGGCAGGTGTGAAATGATACATTGTCGTTTAATTTGCATCTCTCTGATGATTAGTGACTTTGAGCATTCTTTCATATGTCTATTGGCCATCTGTGTATCCTCTTTGGAGAAGTGTCTATTCAGGTTCTTTGCCCATTTTTTATTGGATTGTTTATCTTCATGGTGTTGACTTGTATACGTTCTTGATATATTTTGGAAATTAACCTCTTATCAGATGTATCACTGGCAAATATGTTCTTCCATACAGTGGGTCACTTCATTTTGTTGATGATTTCTTTTGCTGTGCAGAAGCTTTTTAGTTCAATGTAGTCCCATTTGTTTATTTTTTCCCCTCTGTTTCTCTTGTCCTAGGTGATGTATTGGTGAAAATACTGCTGTGTGAGATGTCTGAGATTTTACTGCTTATGTTTTCTTCTAGGATTTTTATGATTTTTGCAACTTACATTTAAGTCTTTTATCCATTTTGAGTTTATTCTTGTGTATGGTGTAAGTTGGTGGTCGTTTCTTTTTTTTTTCTTTCTTTCTTTCTTTCTTTCTTTCTTTCTTTCTTTCTTTCTTTCTTTTTTTGCATGTACCTATCCAATTTTCCTAACACCATTTGTTGAAGAGACTGTCTTTACTCAATTGTGTTCTCTTGCCTCCTTTGTCAAATATTAATTGACCATAATGGCATGGGTTGATTCCTGGGTCTTTATTCTGTATAATTGATCTATATGCCTGTTCTTGTGCCAGTACTGGGCTGGGGTTTTTTGTTTCTTGGTGTGGGTTTTTTGTTGTTGTTGTTGTTGTTAATCTTCACCCAAGGATATTTCTTCCATTGATTTTTTTTTCAAGGGAGAAGGGTAGAGACAGAGAGAGAGAGAGAGAAACATTGATGTGAGAGAGGCACATCTATTGGTTGCCTTCACACAGGCCCCAACCCCAACCAGGGATCAAGCCTGCAACCAAGGTATGTACCCCTGACCAGAATCAAACCCGAGATCCTTCAGTTCATGGGCCAACACTCTAACCACTAAGCCAAACCAGCTAGGGCCAAGCTGTTTTTATTACAATAGCTTTGTAGTATATTTTGATATCTGATATTGCAATCCTTCCAACTTTGTTCTTCTTTTTCAAGATTGCTGAGGCTATTCAGGGCCTTTTATGGTTCCATGCAAATTTTTGAAATATTTATTCTGTGAAATATGGCATTGGCATTTTAATAGAGTCTATAGATTGCTTTGAGTAGTATGGGCATTTTAATGATGTTAATTCTTCCAATCATGAACACAGTATATGATTCCACTTGTTTGTATCTCCCTCTATTTCTTTTTTCAATATCCTATAGTTTTTTGAGTACAGGTCTTTTAGCTCCTTGGTTAAGTTTATTCCTAGATATCTTATTTTTTTATTGCAATAGTAAATGAGATAATTTTTTTTTAGTTTCTCTTTATGAGAGTTCATTATTGCTGTATAAAAACACCATCAATTTCTGGAGAGAAAAACCAAGATGGCGGCATAGGTAAACACCGGAGTTTGCTGCCTCGCACAACCACTTCAAAAATACAACTAAAAGATGGAACGGACATCACCCAGAACCACAGGAAGGCTGGCTGAGGGGAAATTCTTCAACTAGAAGGAAAGAGAACAGCATACCGAGGCTCAGAGGAGGCGCAGTGCAGAAAATACAAAGGTGCGGAGGTGCGCGCGGAGCGGGCTGGTGGCTGAGGGCGCGGTTGTCGTTTTCAATTGGGAGGGAGTCTCAGATTCTGAGCTCCAGTTCTGGGTGAGTCTCTAGGGACCCAGACTCAAACGGGAGAAGCGGGACTGTCTGGCATCGGTCGGAACACGAGGGCAGCTTTCTCTCCGAGGTTTGCAGCGGTTCCTGGGTCTCTGAGAGGCAGATCCTCTGGGGACGGGACTGAGAGCAGCCATAACTGCTCCCTCCGCCCGCCCTGTTGATCCTATGCGACCCACCCCGCCCAAGCCCTGCGCACAGCCATTTGCTGGATAGCCTCAGGCAAAGGCTAGATTAGCACCTCCCCAGAGGACAGAAGTTTTCCCACTGCAGACACAGCTGATTCTCACAGCCAGTTGGCCTGGAGGTCAAATCCCCCTAGTATTAACTACAACAATCAAGGCTTAACTACAACAAGACTGCGCACAAAGACCACTAGGGGGTGCACCAAGAAAGCATAAAAAATGCGGAGACAAAGAAACAGGACAAAATTGTTAATGGAGGATATTGAGTTCAGAACCACACTTTTAAGGTCCCCCAAGAACTGTCTAGAAGCCGCCGATAAACTTATTGAGATCTACAAGAAATCTAATGAGACCCTCGATGTTGTGATAAAGAACCAACTAGAAATTAAGCATACACGGACTGAAATAAAGAATATTATACAGACTCCCAACAGCAGACCAGAGGATCGCAAGAATCAAGTCAAAGATTTGAAATGCGAAGAAGCAAAAAACACCCAACCGGAAAAGCAAAATGAAAAAAGAATCCAAAAATACGAAGATAGTGTAAGGAGCCTCTGGGACAGCTTCAAGCGTACCAACATCAGAATTATAGGGGTACCAGAAGATGAGAGTGAGCAAGATATTGAAAACCTATTTGAAGAAATAATGACAGAAAACTTCCCCTTCCTGGTGAAAGAAATAGACTTCCAAGTCCAGGAAGCAAAGAGAACCCCAAACAAAAGGAATCCAAAGAGGACCACACCAAGACACATCATAATTAAAATGCCAAGAGCAAAAGACAAAGAGAGAATCTTAAAAGCAGCAAGAGAAAGAAACTCAGTTACCTACAAGGGAATACCCATACGACTGTCAGCTGATTTCTCAACAGAAACTTTGCAGGCCAGAAGGGAGTGGCAAGAAATATTCAAAGTGATGAATGCCAAGAACCTACAACCAAGATTACTTTATCCAGCAAAGCTATCATTCAGAATTGAAGGTCAGAAAAAGAGCTTCACAGATAAGGAAAAGCTAAAGGAGTTCATCACCACCAAACCAGTATTATATGAAATGCTGAAAGGTATCCTTTAAGAAGAGGAAGAAGAAAAAGGTAAAGATACAAGTTATGAACAACAAATATGCATCTATCAACAAGTGAATCTAAGAATCAAGTGAATAAATAATCTGATGAACAGAATGAACTGTTGATTATAATAGAATCAGGGACATAGAAAGGGAATGGACTGACTATTCTTGGGGAGGAAAAGGGTGTGGGAGATGCGGGAAGAGACTGGACAAAAATCGTGCACCTATGGATGAGGACAGTGGGTGGGGAGTGAGGGCAGAGGGTGGGGTGGGAACAAGGAAGGGAGTTATGGGGGGGGGGAAAGAGGAACAAATGTAATAATCTGAACAATAAAGATTTAATAAAAAATAAAAATAAATAGTATATCTAGATGCAAATATATGATGCTTATATAAAAATATATGTACTTATAGTATACTTAATAAAATGTTTATTAAATATTTGTATACTAAAATATACAATCTTATAAAAAAATAAAATAAAATGAAGATGAAAAAAATAAAAAAATAAATAAATAAAAACACCATCAATTTCTGGATATAAATTTTATATCCTATTACCTTGCCAAATTCATTTATTAAATCTAATAGTTTTTGGTGGAGTCTGTAGACTCCCATGTTTTCCACTCCCATGTTTTATATGTATAATATCATGTCATCTGTGAAAAATGACAGTTTTACTTACTCCTTTCCAATTTGAATGCCTTTTATTTTTTCTTCTTGTCTGATTGCTGTGGCTAGGACTTCCAGTACTATGCTGAATAAGAGTGGTAAAAGTGAACATCTCTGTCTTGTTCCTGATCTTAAGGGAAATGTTTTTAGTTTTTGTCCATTGAGTATGATGTTGACTGTAGGTTTGTCATATATGCGTCTTTATTATGTTGAGGGATGATCTCTCTATTCCAACTTTGCTGAGAATTTTTTTAAAAACAGGAGCTGGATTTTGTTGAATGCTTTTCCCATATCTATTGATATGGTCATATAATTTTTATCCTTCATTTTATTTATGGTATTTATCACATTTATTGATTTGCAAATATTGTACCAACCTTGTATCCCTGGAATAAATCCCACTTGGTCATGGTGTATGATCTTTTTATTTTTGCTGGATCTGATTTGCTAATATTTTGTTGAGGATTTTAACATCTATGTTCATCAGGGATACTGTCCTATAATTTTCTTTCTTTATAGAGTATCTGTTTTTGGAATTAGGATAATGTTGGCCTTGTAAAAAGAGCTTGGAAGTCTTCCCTCCTCTTGATTTTTTGGAATAGTTTGAGGAGGATCTATTTCTACTTTTATGTTGGTTAGTTATACTTATGTTTACTTACCCCTGTTTTCTTAAGTCTATCAATATCTGTATATTCACTCCTGAACAATACAAATACTATCACATCCCTTAATCTTACCCCATGCATCACCTCTATTATGTTAATATTGTCCAGAATATTGTCCAGGACATTACAGAACACTATAAAGTTTCTTTATGCACCCTGCCAGTCAACTACTTTCGCTAGAGCCAACTGCTATTCTGATTTCTATCATCATAGATTAGTTTGTTGCTTCTAGAATTCTTATTAAAAGAATCATGTAATATGTACCTTTTGTGTTTGTTGTTGCATTTATCAGTTGTTTTATTTTTAATATTTTTTATTGATTTTAGAGAGAGAGAGAAAGGAGAGGGAGAGAGAGACAGAAACATCAATGAAAGAGAAGGCTGCCTTCTTCATGCCCTCCACCGGGGATACAGCCTGTACATGCCCTGGGCATGTGACCTGACCAGGAATCAAACCAACAACCTCTCAGTGTCTGGGATAATGTTTAATCAACTGAGCCACACAGGCCAGACACTTGTTTTATTTTATTGCTGAATGCTATTAATTTTAAGAATCTATCAAAGCTTGCTTATCTATTTTTCCATTGGTGGATATTTACTTTTTTTTCAATTTGGGAATATTATGAATATGGCAGTTATCAATATTCTCACATAAGATTTTGTGGACATGACTAGAATTTCTGGATCATAATTGCTCCAAGGGTGTGCTGCAACTTCTCCACTGGTTACCCGAACTTCTACAAAAGCCTTCTCATCCATGGATGATTTCCAGAGTTGGTGTTCTTTGAGTAGATAAATGGTAGGAAACTCTTATTTCACCATGTTTATGATGTCACTCCTCCTGGTTTTACACTTTTATCTACCTAGTGTCTTGGTCACATACCAGATGTCTAGCAAACAACTCCAGGCTTCCACAGACCTATTTATCAAGCAGCTCAAGTGGCACAAGATTGTGGTTGTGGGATCAGTCATTGCAATTTGGGTAAGTATGCCTCTTTCCACTTGTCTCTGTCCATCCATAGAGCATGAACCAGTTACTTTCTAGGCAAAAGAGGTCAAGGTCAAGGGAAGCTCTCCATTTCGACATTCCATTTTCCTAATGCAAGAACAGAAGTGTCATGAAGGGACTAGTTCATAGATAGAGAATGAGCACATAGTATCCGGTAGAAGCAGCTGTAAGAGTCTCCAAAACACTAGCCCAAAAGAGTTATTGGAGGGGAAAGTAGAAACCTAAGCTATCTATGCTTTCTATATCCCTGAATTTTTATATTTCTGTTCCAATTCTCCTGGCTCTTTCTAGTTCTTAAAACTAAGAAGGCCACTATTACCTCCGTACCTTGTCTAAGGGCACCCTCTTCCCTCTTCCTACCTGGTGCACATGTAAAAGTTTCCTTTTCCTCTTGGTTCTGCATTTTTTTTATATATGTATATATATATATTATTGATTTTTTACAGAGAGGAAGGGAGAGGGATAGAGAGTTAGAAACATCGATGAGAGAGAAACATCGATCAGCTGCCTCTTGCACACTCCCTACTGGGGATGTGCCCGCAACCAAGGTACATGCCCTTGACTGGAATCGAACCTGGGACCCTTGAGTCCGCAGGCCGACGCTCTATCCACTGAACCAAACCAGCTAGGGCAAGGTTCTGCTTTTTTAAAAAAAAAATTTAAAAAGGAGCTTTACCAGGATTAATTAGGGGAAACAAGCAAAAGAAAACTCAAATACATAAATCTATGTGTTTACAAAGGAAAACCATTTGAACAAAGGACAAAACATCCTTTCTTATTTTTAGTCCAACTCAGGACTGTATCAGAGAACAGGAAACAGGAATTCAGTAGAGAAGTGATATATCAGAATAGAGTTTCCATCTTAAGAGGAAAAGATTACCCCAAGATATGATTGACTTTTCCTGATAAGACTATAGACCAATAAGTTTTTGGGCCACCCTGTCCTGTTGTATCCCAGAACCTCTTCACTTTCTCCCATAAATCAGGCAGTTTCATACTAATAAAATTCAGTTCTTTCATCTACTGTCTTATACATATTGAAATCCAGGCCTAACCTGGTTATGGTCATTAATATTTGCTCCTTAACAAATGAATTCCTCTCTCTCTCTCTCTCTCTCTCTCTCTCTCTCTCTCTCTCCAAATGTTTTAAATAATAAAAAGTTGTGTCCTCTGATCACTACTGAAATACATTATAAATCAATAACAGAAAGATTTCTAGAAAATCTCCAAATATTTAGAAACTAAATAATATACTTATTAATAACCTAATGGGTCAAAGGAGAACTCTGAAAGGAAATTAGAAAGCATTTTGAATGGAAGGAAAATGAAAACAGGCCTATAAAATTTTGTGGAATACTCAGAGGGAAATTTATAGTATTAAATGTCTTTGTCAGAAAAGATGTAAGATCTCAAATCAATTAATTCAGTTTCCATCTCAAGAAACTAGAAAAAAGAGCAAATTAAAGTCTATGAAATTAGAAGAAAGAAAAAAATATCCTAGCAGAAATAAATAAGATAGAAAACAGAAAATCAATATAAAAAATTAATTCATTGAAAGTTGGTTCTATGAGATCAATAAAATTGATTAGCTTCTAGTCAAACTAATCAGGAAAAAATAATAGACACAAATGATCAATAGTGGACATGCAAAAGGTATTATCAATACATATTCTACAGATATCCTATATAATAAAAGGCCAGCGACCATAACAACCGCTCAACCAGTCACTATGAGGTGCATTGACCACCTCTCAGTCCCTCCCCCTCCACAGGCTCTGATCGCAGCATGGCAAATGGGGAACCATGGGGAATCCGATGGGTGGCAGAGGTGGCCAGAGTGAAGCAGCCCAGGTCCTGGGTGCCTGGCAGTGGCGACCAGAGCAAAGCCTGGGTTCTGGGTACCAGAGGGAAGCCAGTGCCAGCAGCTGGGGGAAGGAAGGCCTACTCTTGCATGAATTTTTGTGCATTGAGCCTCTAGTCCTATATAATCCTATATAATAAAAGGCTAATATGCAAATCTACAAAAAGACAGAACGACTGGTTGCTATGACACACACTAACCACCAGGGGGCAGACACTCAATGCAGGAGCTGCCCCCAGCCTGCAGGCCCCTGGCCAGTCAAGGCAGGTGGGGGACTCCCAATCTCCTGCTGGTCGCCCCACAGAGGGAGGCAACCGGTGGTGGCAGTGAGGCGTAGGGCCAGTGAGCAGGCGGTTCCAGGCCAGCCAAGGCGGGTGCCAGCAGGGGCCCCCCTGAACACCCCACCAGTCACCACACAGATCGGCCCTGATCGCCAGCCAGGCCTAGAGACCCTACCCGTGCATGAATTTCATGCACTGGGCCTCTAGTGTAATATAAGCAGGAGGAGGTCTAAGATGGCTGTAGCATAGGACACTGGATTTGCCCTCTCCCATAAGCAAAATTTAAGCAGAAAACTCCTGAATGGAGATTTTGGAGAAATGTGTGGTTTTCCCCCCTAATTAAAAGGGGAAAATTCACCAAGCACAATTTGCCATTCCCTATGTTCTTGCTGGTAGATGAACATGAGCACAGGAGGTACAACCATCTTGCACTATGGGCAACAAGTAACATGATAAAGATAGTAGATAGTCTGGATTCTGAATGACGTTGTTGAGCCACTAACCTTCCCTTGATGTCCTACTCCTAGACATGGTGTTGTGTGAGAAAAATAAAACCATCATTCTTAAGCCATTATGTGTTGGGTTTTCTGTAATTGGCAGCTAAACCATTCCTAGCTTATATAACTAAATTAGTTGAGCATTTTTTTTCTGACATTTATTTTCTTTTTAAAGTTTCCCTTCTATAAATTGCCTTTTTAGGCCATCTGGCATAGCTTAGTGGTTAAGCATTGGCCTATGAACCAGAAGGTTACAGTTCGGTTCCTGGTCAGGGCACATGCCTAGGTTTCTGGCTTTATCCCCAGTAGGGGGGGGGTGCAGGAGGCAGCTGGTCAATGATTCTCTCTCATCATTGATGTTTCTATCTCTCTCTCCTTCTCCCTTTTGCTCTGAAATTAACAATTATATATATTATAAATTGCCTGTTTATATACTTTGCCCATTTTTGTATTGAATTATTTGTCTTTTTCATGTTGATTTGTGTTCATTCCTCCTATTTTCTGGGTTTAATCTTTTGTCTATTATATATGTTGCAAATACCATATTTTGTCAATTCTAAGATGTCTATTTTTTCATACTTGAACATTTCTGAAATTGAGATGTGTCTTATAAATTACTAGAGGCCCAGTGCACAAAAATTTGTGCACTTGAGGGGGGGTCCCTCAGCCCGGCCTGTGCCCTCTCACAGTCTGGGACCCCTTGGGGGATGACCACCTGCTGGCTTAGGACTGCTCCCCGGGGGATTGGGCCTAAGCTGGCAATCAGACATCCCTCTGGCAGCCCGGCAGCCCTCGGGGGATGTCCACTTGCCAGCGGGGAGCAGACCTAAGCTGTAGTCGTACATCCTTAGCGCTGCTGAGGAGGCAGGAGAGGCTCCCACCACCACCACTGTACTGGCAGCCATCAGCCTGGCTTGTGGCTGAGCAGAGCTCCCCCATGTGGGAGCGCACTGACCACCAGAGGGCAGCTCCTACATTGAGCGTCTGCCCCCTGGTGGTCAGTGTGTGTCATAGTGACTAGTCATTCCCAGTCTTTCTGCTGTTAGGGTCAGTTTGCATATTACCCTTTTACTATATAGGATAGAGGCCTGGTGCATAGGTGGGGGCTGGCTGGTTTGCCCTGAAGGGTGTCCCAAATCAGGGTGGGGGTCCTGCTTGGGTGCCTGGCCAGCCTAGGTGAGGGGATGATGGCTGTTTGCAGCTGATCACACCCCCTTCAGGGTGGGGGTCCCCGCTGGGGTGCCTGGCCAGCCTGGATGAGGGGCTGATGGCTGTTTTCAGGCTGGCCACACCCCCTTTAGGGTGGGGGTCCCCACTGGGTGCCTGGCCAGTCTGGGTGAGGGGCTGAGGGCCGTTTTCAGGCTGGCCTGCGACTGAAGCTCCCAGCCTCTCCTTTCTTTCTTTCTTTTTTTTATTCTGGGATTTATTTACCGTCTATAATTGAATCTCTGTTGCCTTCACTGGTGCTCCCAGCTCTGAGGCCGCGGCTGGCTGAAAGCAGGTATCTGGAGTTTGTTTAGCTTCTATAATTGAAACTTTGTTGCTTTTGAAGCTGTTGCTTTTGGAGCTCAGAGCCAGGCCGCAGCAGGCGGGGAACCTTGGCTTCCTCCATCACTGGAGCAAGCAAGCCTCCTGTTCACTTCAGCTGCGTGGCTACCGGCCGCTATCTTTGTAGGCAGTTAATTTGCATATCTCGCTGATTAGTCAATGGGAAGCATAGCAGAAGTACGGTTAATTACCCTTTTTCTCTTTTATTCAATAGGATGGTATCTCATATTGCAGTTGACTGGGGGCAGAGTTGGCTTTGCAATAGTCATAACCTGAGGTATATTTGCCAGGAAGCCAAGTTTCAGAGTCCTTCATTTATATAGATCTCTTCCAAGACCTTGGGAAGGATGCTAACAGTGTCATGTGTTTTTGTAAAATTTACATAGTAAAATATTTTAATCTCAACCTGGGAAGGTCATGTATCTTTCTATTACAGCTTTTTTCATGTCAGGTGATGTTGGAGTGGTCAGAGGCTCTTTTTTTTTTCTTTTTTTAGAGACCATTAAAGTAAGTTTGAATTGAGGAACATTTAGTTTTTATTTAATGTAATTTTCAGTCATTCCTGCATACAGTTAAGTTATAGCTAAATGTCTTGGGATAGGAATGGCTTCCAGGAACACTCCTATCCCACACTGTGCCAACTCAGCATTATGACACAAAGAAAGAGCCAGAAATCCTATCATGATATGAGTGTTTCCTGTGACACTCAGCACCAGAATTATGTGGGGAGTGGAAGACAAACAAGGTTTGAAATGGCCTTTCCTTTCTTATTGCAAGATGTTTGATGCATCTCCAGGCACTGAATCCACATCCCAGGTGGAAATAAAATAGGGCATCAAGCTGGTCCCTTTTATTAGGTGAGTGGAAGCTGTCTCCGATACCCCTCTCCTCATATCTTATTAACCAGAACTGGGAAATTCTCGAGAAAATTGAAAAAATGTGGAATGTGAATGTCATTATTGGCTCGGACCAATAATAATGTATTGCATGATGATAATGTATCACATTTGGCTTTATTCTACCCCAAATAAAAATGGGATATTGGATAGGCAACCAACAGTGTCAGTCAGAAACACCCTCCCCAAATCTAGACATTTGGAAACCTGCCTTTAGGGGAGCTGGATCTGCACAAGAGATGCACATATGCAGAATCACTGTCTCACATTTGCAAGTCCTGAGAGTTCAGAGATGAGGGAAGAGAGAAAAGAAGCAAGAAGGGCCTCTATGCTCAATAGGACTCTTATATTATCGCCACACAAGACTCACACCCACTTGATTTAGAAAATGATGGTAAATTCCCCCTCTTCTGAGCAGCAAACCAGAAAACAAAGTTCTTAGAGCCCTGTACGTAATATAATCCAACCTCTGGTTTTGCCAAAGACCAAAGCTGAGCTTCAGAGGTGTCTGAAGATAAGTCAATAGGCAAAGAAGAGAAAACTTTCTTGGTTTTAGCCCCACCAGACTACTAGTTGTTCTGCATGGGTTGTCCAAAGTCCACAAATTATGAACTTAAATTTTATTGGGAAACTTCTCCCACTGAGAGTGATGGATGGTGTCCTGTGCGTACAACAGCAGCAGGGGAAATCCACCTCTGCATGTTGCTTCCTCTTGCAGAGGAAGCGGTGTGGGCTATTTCTTTCCTTTTGAAAAATGTGAAAATCTGCAATGACCAATTTAAAAAGCATGTGAAAATGTGCAGTAACAAGTCCCTCAGCATCAGCTCTTACTTGAAGGGCCCATCTTCCCCCTATCACGTATGTTTAAAACATCTTAATTTCCTGTTCCCCACTAAGTTCCATGGCCCTGATATCCAATTGCTGCATACACTGTGGGTTCTGCAAGTGGCACAATGGATCAAAATCCATCACCATATCTTTGTCTTCTGTGCTCTGTGCAAAGGCTATGGCCACTGCTTCTCGCATGGAAATTGCTTTGTCCCATGAAACATGCCTCCTGGGGGGTAGGTTCTCTCTCAGCCCATGTTGGTTTCATCTTTAGCAGATTCCTGAACTACATCTGGTGGTTCTGAAGCTTTTGCCTCATTCTAGAAATATTCTCCTATTCTTCCCTACTAACCCAAACCTGTGCCCAGTAAGGAAAGGGGGGAAGACTGTATGTCCAGACTCCACTACAGGCAAGAGTGGTCAATGAAACATAAATAAAAGTAATAGTGTAGGACTTTTAAAGCTATTTTGGTGCTATATCATTCCTCCTTCCTGCTGATACCAAAGTAAACATGATGGCTGGCGCTCCAGCAGCCTTCTTGGGACCAGGAGAGAACTGTCAAGAAATCACAAAGACCTTGCCCTTACATCCTTAAGACACTGAACTAAGGCCACCAATTGTCTATTTCCAGACAGTTATTGTGAGAAAAATAAACCTTCCTTTGTTTATGCCACTGAAGGTAGTGTCTGTTACTACCAGCCAAAAGCAATTCCTACCTAACACATTTGCCTTTCTCCTATTTTTGAATTTTTCAGTATTTGAGTAACCTGTGTTACTCAATATCGGCAAAAATATTTCAGTGTCACATCATTCTTTGTAGAAGAGCATTTGTTTCTGGCGTGATATTTCTTTCCATTGTTCGCTAGTCACTTCAGAAGGTTTCAACTATGCTTTTAATATCTTAACATGCTTTTTAAATTAGTCCATTTTCCTCTCCTTCATTATGGCCTTTATATGTCACCTTTTTCTTTGCATTCCCTTTTTTTTTTACCAACTCTTATCTACCCCTAGAGAGATGAGCTCCCTCAACCTGACCTAGGGTGGAGGTGATATACTTTGGAATACAACACAAACAAACCCCTATGCTCTCTTGTCTTAGTAATTTAACTCTAGTTTTAGGAACAGATCTTTAGATCAAAGTCAATAGCAGATGCCCAATGTTTGCTTGTTGAGGCCCAAGCAGTTAAAATATAGCTTCAAGACTGTTGCTATAAACCACGATGTGCCTGCAGGGACCAGAAGCCGGTGCTTACTGAAGAACATGCAACCAGTTTAGGGAGGACCTAGTTGGAGTATAAACTTGAAATAATTTTAATTCTTCCCATTGTTGCCATCAACTGTCTGTTGAATGCTATCCTTCCCTTGAGCTTCCTTAACCACATCTCAGTCTAATTCCATACATTTTAAGTCAATTTCAGTTCTTATATCAGTCGAGTTTGTTTGTCTAAGACTCAGTGCTGTTCATTTGCAACTTCAACCTTATGTCCTATTGAAAGCTCCTTCCCTTCTCCCTCCATCCCCTCTTGCCAAGTTCAGCTAAGGCTCCCGCTGATTTGAGTTGGGGAGAGAGGCATGCTCTGCTCACACATACCTTTCTCATTCTTCTTCCCTCTATTTTCCCTTTGATATTGGGAAGAAAAACCAAGAGACTGAAAAGCAAACAGGTTCCTTCCTATCACTAACCTGCGTGAAGTGGACATTGCTTCTTGATCACAGTTGCTGACCATCTCATTGGCTATTGGCTTGAAGAAGGGGTGGTGGCTCCAATAGGTCCTGTGGATAAAGGGCTTAATCCCAAGCCACTCCCAGAGTCATTGGTGGTCTCTTGTGGTTCTCCATCATATCATGTCTCATTCCCCAATTGCATATGTCTCTTGACCGCATGGTACATTGGTCTCTGGTCAGACAGTGGCCACCCCAGTTCTCGGTCACAAACTGCACCAGCAACTCCTGTGACATGACACAGAAAAATTCAAATTCCAGGGACTTAATTAAGGGCCTCTAGGATAGGTCTCAATACTTTGCATGAAGGAAATTTCTCCTTCTGCCCCTTCCCCTCTGTACCAGTTCTCCCTTCCTGATGTACTTCCAAAATATTTTTTTCCTGCTTATGTTGACTTTATCCAGGAGAAATGTAAGGAGAGGTGTTTGGGCATCTCTAGTGCCTGACCCTTGTGAGACCTGGTATTATCAAATGGCCAGGAGCGTGTTTATTTAACTTAATGTCTATGCTGTGAGGAAACTCTGTGAAAGAGGATCAAGACCCTTGATGCTAAGGTGTAGTCAGAAAATAAATCAGGCGCAGGGTAGATAAATGCTAGAGACCACCAAATGCTGATGGGCCTTCTAACTGGATTGACTTCCTTTCCTTGGAGGACTTGCTAAGCACTTGTACTATGATTTTGAGCCGTATGGGTGTTTCTTGTGAGGCAAGGCCGACTTAGGTTTGTGCTTACCTGGGACTTGGATTTTTGTTGGGGGCTGAAGCGAACTGGAGCCCCAGCCTACTCCCTCCCCCAAACCCCATTCTATCTGCACATGGCTCACCTTTGTGCCCCAGGACCCCTCATGTCCACTCCATCAACTGTTCCTCCTTCTAAGTCCAGGTTGAACATGTCTAGTAGAGACAGGGGTTGTGGAAAGAGAAATAGAAGGGGAAGGTGGATTTACTCTGGTTTTGGAGTCCAGAGAGAAGATGGACTTGTAAGGAGTGGGGAGGGCTAGAGATGAGGGGTGGGGGTGGGTCCAAGCCTGGACCCCCTCTGTGGCAGTGGAATGTGTGTGTCAGAGGTAAGCAGGTGGTCAGCAGAAGCCAGTAGGGACCAGCAGACAGAGATGTTATTTATTCTCTGGGATTTAACAAAACTCACAGAAATATGGTTTTAAACATGAGATGGTATTTGCAGATGTGTGTGGTGGTGGCTCAGACAACAGCTTTGGGTCAGAAGCAGCAAAAAGGAAGGCAGATAGGATTCCTGTCTGAGACCCACCAAGCAGAGGAGGACTAAGTTTGGTGAATTGAAAACTTCTTTACAGAAAAAAATATGAAGAGGCAAAAATCACTGACTGGTTCCTCTTTTTCTCCCACAGATCTTGTATACCAGGGTTTCCTGGCCTGATAGTGCTGTCCCTCTGTCCCCAAGGCCTCGCCCTGCCCGCAAATCCTCTGGCTCTCTCCCCCCGCAGCTCTCAGACCTGACCCACCTTCTGCACTGGCCTCTGACTCCAGGAGATGGGGGGGACCTTTTGGCCTCCACCAGCCCTGAGACCTCTACCTACCACCTGAAGGGTCCTGTGCAGGCCAGCTATGCCCTGGGAGGCTACCTGGAGGCCATCCTTGTGGCCAGAGACCATAGGGGCAGGCCCAAGACCCACGGTGGGGATCTGTTTCGGACAAAGCTGCTGGGTCCTGACTTGAAGGCAGGGGTCCCTGGGGATGTCCAGGATCTAGAGAACGGCACATACCTGCTGTCCTTCCCCCTTTTCTGGTCTGGGCAGGCCCAGGTGCAAGTTCGGCTAATCCACTCCAGTGAGGCAGTTGGGGTTCTTCGAAGAATCTGGAGGGACCAATGGGCCACAGTCGATTTCATGGGCTATTTTCGGGGACCCACAGGATATGAAGAAACTGTAACTTGCAATATTAACCCCCTGTTAACTGGAGAGGAAGAGTCTACCTGTCACTATAGGGATGAAGATTCGGGGGAGCTCTGGTTCTGCGCTCGACCACCCACCCTGCCCTGCGACTCACTGGTGGGACATTCAAGTGGACGTTACTGGAACGTGACCACACCACAAGAGGAGGCCCTGCTGCTGTGGTAAGAAACCCAGCATTCTTGGAAACTGCCCCAACTCCTGAATCCTGGTCCCTACGAGTCTTCTGCCTGAGTCCCTGCCCTTCTCATTCTCTGTTCACTCCTACCATGTACACCTCCTGAGCACCTATTATATGCCCATGACAAGTGCTGACTACTTATGCATAATCATCAGCTTCCCTGCCTTCTACACATTTTCAATGAAGAGATGCACGACTTTTTAAAACATGAAGTGTACTAGGTGCTTAACTGCATGCACTGCGTGGTTTGAAGACATGGAGAAAGGGCACCCCATCTGGTCTATGATGGTAAGGGCAGGTGACAATTTAGCTGAAACTGAAGGAGGAACCACAGACCCCTGGCAAAGGAGAAGTGTCCTAATCCCCTCCCCGCTACTGATGGCCCCTGCAAGGAGAGATGTAGATTTAGAAGTCACCGGCATGTATGGTCAGAGAGTAGAGAGGGTGGATATGATTTCTCTGAGACAGAAACAGAGGCTGCAGCCTGTAAGCCAAGCAAAAAGAGGCTGAGAATTGTCCTCAGTCTCAGGGAGCAAGCCTCCTGGGTGGACAGAGAATGGGATTGAGGGAGAGGAGACCATGAAAACAGACTTGCTCACAGTGAGTCCTTCTGGCCTTGAGATCAGAGGCAGGGCTGGTGCTGGAGAGACCCCAGGGATGAGGGAAGCATTTTTTAAAATGGGAGACCCAGGCATCTGGTCTCCAGTAGAGAGACAGTAGGGAAGGAAGCAAAAACAGGGTCCCAGAAGATGGCTTGGGGCGAGGGTGGGATGGGGAAGAGAAGAAGTGGAGGGACACCCCCTCTGAGAGAGAAGAAAGAGAAGAGGCTAGAGCAGGGGTGGGCAAACTTTTTGACTCGAGGGCCACAATGGGTTCTTAAACTGGACCGGAGGGCCGGAACAAAAGCATGGATGGAGTGTTTGTGTGAACTAATATAAATTCAAAGTAAACATCATTACATAAAAGGGTACGGTCTTTTTTTTTTTTTTTAGTTTTATTCATTTCAAACTGGCCAGATCCGGCCCGCGGGCCGTAGTTTACCCACGGCTGGGCTAGAGCCAGAGGCAGAGATGTTTTAGGTGGGAGGACTGACAGGTGAGGTGTCTGGTGCTCCATGACCCCAAAGAGCATGGAAGTTATCACTGCTGCTATGAGGAAAAACACCAAGGCACGCTGAGCTGGAGACACCCGAGGTGCCAGCTCCACCAGACACCCATCTCTGGAGGCTCTCGGCCACTCCTCTTGTCTGGCGAATTCCCACTAACATTTACCTCCTGACGTAAAAATTTAACACCAGGACCAATTTTCATGCTCCCTTTGGTCAGAAGGGGAGAACCACCTATCTCATTTGCATTAGTCAACTGGGAATAAATCTAAGATTCAATACTGACATCCTAGTCTCAGGATGTCGCTTGGAGGAAAACCCAAGAGTCTCCGGAGTGAGACTGAGAGGTTTGAATCCCTTCTCCAACTGTTACTGTTTGCCAGCTTGTATTCATGTGATCTCTAGCAAGTTACTTATCCTCTCTGTACCTCTGTTCTTTCATTTGTAAAGGGGATAGTAATAATACCACTGTCATAGACTTGTGGAAGAAACTAATAAATTAATGTATGTAAAGGGCTTAGAACTTTTATCATCTGATTTCAGATGTTTGCTTCTCTTGAGTCTTATCCCACCCCAACTCTGTGCTAGATACCATCCAAAGTCCTGGAGGTGCTGGGGAGAGGAGAACAGGGCAGAATGGCCTCATCCTGCAGGAGCTAACAGTGTACTGATGGGATACAGGCATTAAACAGATAACCACACATGCGACAAATGTGTAGTGGGCATGAATTTGCAACCCAAGCTCAAGTGTTTTCTTTACATCAACTTTAGTCGAATTTTGAGGACCGCTGCAACAGGGCTGGTGAGGAGTGTTCTCCTTGTCTAGGGCTCTGCCAAGGAACTGACACTTGACCATGGGGGATCTTTCCTTCTTTAGTCAACTGTCCACACTGGTCACTTCAAAGTGTCCCTAAGGGCCAAGTACCAGACAAGTAGAGATTACCCCTATAGCCCAGAGCCCACTGAAATTACTCAAACTATTCATCCCTAAACCTACTCAGCTGTTAACCTTTCCTCACCCATTCCTTCCTGCAAAAAACACAATAAAGACTTTTGCCCACATTTTCTCCTGCTCCTGATGCCTCTTGACCAAGCCTGGCGCTTCCCCCATGTGGCCCTGCATGGTGCATCATGTCCCCACGTCTCAGGACTGTACCACTATTTTTTCCATGGCGATCATCTCCTGATCTATTGACCTTACCATATCTAAATAAAACCAAAATACTAGGTACATTTTTTAAAATATTTTTTTTATTGATTTCAGAGAGGAAGGGAGAAAGAGAAATGTCAATGATGAGAGAGAATCATTGATCGGCTGCCTCCTGCATGTTCCCTACTGGGGATAGAGCCAGGACTTGGGCATGTGCCCTGACTGGGAATAGAACCATGATCTCCTGGTTCATAGGTCGATGCTCAATCACTGAGTCACACCAGACTCCTACGTACATTTTAAAACATCTGCTTTCTACACTGATGAAATCCTGGGGCCAGGAAATTCAAAAAGCCTGGATCCCTCAACTCTAGTTTCTAACACCTCTCTTGCCCTAGAGCCCTCACTGTCTCCCAGAAGCCCTGACTCTGTACAGGTGCCCTTGACTTTGAGAACTTCCTTTTTTCCAAGAACCCCCATTTCACCTTAGCCCAAAATTCCTTCCTATAACACATTTCCATTAAGGTTTCCTTTCTTGCCAATTGGTTTCTCTTCAGGAATGTGACAGACAAGGTCCTCCCTCAGGGTATTTCTCCAATCTGGGTGGCCAAGGAGAGCGATAGGAGTCTGGGTAAGTAACACTGGAGCCTACAGAAAAGTCAGCACTTACCCCGTGCCTGTAGCTTTAGTTTTCTTCTGTATCCACTGATTGTTTTGCTTACAAACAATTGCTTACAGTGCTGTCTCCCAAACAACTGTGCCATCCTGGGATCCCGGGCCCAAAGCCTTCTGGCTTCTTCCACCGAGGAGTGTGGCACTCTCTTTCCTGCTCTGGCCGCTCCTTCTCCACTGTTGACAGCATCCTGGGCTGCCTGGCTGGTCATGTCATCCACATGATGGGAGACTCCACGCTGCGGCAGTGGTGGGAGTATCTGCGTGACACTGTGCCTTGTGAGTGGCCGTGAGGGGAGAGGGCACAACTCCTAAGAGCAAAAGAGCAGAATCAGGGCTTTGACAAGGCATAAAGCATCTACCTGGATTCAGGAGAGTGATATAGAAGGACAGGACACCTGATTCCCTTAAGGAAGGGATGGGAAACAATGCCCAGATTATGCATAATCTCAATAATTAATCAGAAGCTCTAACAGGAGAGTAGATATGTTTGATGAACCATGAATAGATAGCCTTGGGCGGAACTAATTAGTTGCTTGGGGGATACTGAAGGAGTAGAGTTGGAATTTAAGAAAATAATTGTAGAGAAACCAGGGGTTTTGTCTTGTGACATTTGGGAGACACCAACTGTTTTTAAGCAGTTTTTGGTTTGTTGGATAGACTGGATTGAAAAAGAAAGATCAAAGGCAAGTCATAAGGCAATTGCATGGTCAACATGTGAGGTGAGGAGAGGCTAAATTGGTACGAGAAATAGAGTGACAGCAGTGAAGGAAGTAATATGCTGGAAAAATTCACAGTCTTGTTAACTGATTGGCTCTGCAATGAAGGGAGGTGATCAGATCACTATGGATAACCATAAAATGAACTCAGAATAAAAGTCACTGGCATGCTTACTAGATATGGGAGCAAGAGACAGGAGTGAGAGAAGATGACATATTTATTTTATACCTTTTCATATTGGATTAAAAAGGTGGGGGGAGGGGTTTCTGTGGAGCATGTGGATGAGGCATTTGAAGACATGGGATTGGAAGTGCATTCAGATGTCTGAGCTTCAGACAGACTTTGGCATTTATTCCTCTGAAGATAGATGTTCAAGGAGGTGAGAGTGTCACACGGGGTCTCTGCCTTTCAGGCACAAGCTCCACAATATAACATAACAGGAATTGAGGGATATGCTTTATTGGAGAAAGGGGCAACCTGAGAGTCAAGGAGAGAAAGAGCATCAGCTCCCGGCCCCGTCCCCCACTTGTCCTCCCACCATCCTACAGAGAGGCGCATGGGGCCCACAGGGTGGGTCTATGCTCTAGTGGAGGAGACCCCCCCCACACACACACACACACACGCCATAATTCTTCCTTTTTACCTACAAACTTCTTGGCACAAGATACAAGTGGGCTGCCATTTGCTCCCAGAAGTTAGAAAACACCTGCTGCCTCCACCTGGAGACCTTGAGGCCTGTGGGACGTTGACTCCTGCTTGAAGGGTTGAAGCTCCCACTGCCCAGGAGGGTCAGCCTGGATGCAGCCCCTCCCTTTAGGAAAAAAGGGAGCTCCACTCCCAACTAATTCGATGTCTCATCAACGTTGAGTGACTTCCCAGGATCATTTGGGGACAATTCTGCTCATGGCCGGGTGGAGTGGGTGAGTTTTCTAGCCAAAAGCTGTTTTTAAAGATGAATGGAAGGTCATGACAGAGGCTGGGGAAACCAGAGACTGTGCTAGTTGATCTGGCACCTTTCTGTGGACTAGAGAAAGGTGCCCCTCTGTGCCCACACAGCCATGGAGCACACGGTGGGGCGAGCAGGTAGAGACTTCGTGCAAAGAAAGTAAGGGCCTTTTTCTGTAGGTGTGTGTAGCTCTCTGCCAGGGCACATGACAAAGCAGACAGGCTGTATTTCAGGCGTCTCAGGCCCCCTAGGCTGGCCACCATTGTGCAAAGACGTAAACCGGGCAACCCTGAATCTCTAGCCTGACTCAAGTCTTTATACACGGGTGGAACCAGTGAATGAATCTGAGTTGGAGCGTTAGATCTGCAAGGAGACTGTAGAGAGTGACAACACACTGCTAAGAAAGGAAAGGGATTCCAAAGGAAAAGGATTCCAAAGGAAAATCAATAAGACAAAATGCTCAAGGAGCCAGGGAGATGAAGGACTGAGAACTGGGTCTTCAGACTTGGTAACTAGGTGGTCACTGACAATATTATAGATTAAGGAGAGCAAAATCGAGGGTTGGGCCATAGAATGATAGAGGAAAATGGTGCTAGATTTTTAAACCAGGAAATACAGTCCTATATTAACCCCTAAGCCTTTTCTCTTGTTCTCCCACAGCCCTGAAGCCCATGGATCTACACGTCACGTATCAGACAGGGCCCCTGATGGCCGTAGAGACCACTCGGAACATAGTGCTGCACTGGCGGGCCCACGGCTGGCCCCTGCGCTCCCTCCGCACACCGGTGGCCTCCCTGCACTCCGTGGTCCAGGAGCTGGGAGGCCTGGCTGGGGGCCCCCACACCGTGGTGGTGCTGGGGCTGGGCGCACACTTCACCACCTTCCCTCCATCCGTCTTTGTGCAGCGACTGGCAGGGATCCGGGCAGCTGTGGCTGCGCTGCTGGCCCGGGAGCCCCACACTCTTGTGGTCATCAAACTGGCCAACACTGGCTACAAGTCCGTGTATGGCAGTGACTGGTTCACCCTCCAGGTGAACCGGCTGCTCCGAGCTGCCTTTGCTGACCTCCGTGTGGCCTTTGTGGATGCCTGGGAAATGACCTCCAGCCTGGCCCTGCCTGACAGGATCCACCCAGGGCGGCTCATTGTCCAAAACGAGGTGGACTCCCTCCTCTCCTTCATCTGCCCCACCTGAATGCTTCTGCCTTGGGCTGTGTGGACAGAGAAGCTGGTGTGATGATTAAGCCTGCAAGCTCTGCCTCTCAGCCATTATTCCCCTTGTCTGACCTTGCTAATGCACTGAATCCACGTCATAATTCACACGATTGTGGATTTTTCAACTTGTCATTTAGACCATTTCTTTTACATGTTTGAAGTCCATGTTATTATGCATTACCAGGAAATCTGACACAAAATAGCCAGCATCAGGGCATCACTTGTAAAATCACTGGTTTTTTATAGATAAAGAAATAATCCTTTAAGCATTTAAGCAAAAAAGGCTTAAGTCACTTACAAGAGAAAAACTTAGATTGACTTAAATCAGTGGTTCTGAACCTTGGCTGCACATTAGAATCACCTGGAAATCTTTTTTTAAAACCCTGAAGGGTCCCAGGTTTGATTCCGGTCAAGAACATATGCCTGGGTTGGTGGGCTCAGTCCTCAGTAGAGAATATCAGTAGAGAGTATGCAGGAGGTGCTAATCAATGATTTTCTCTCATCATTGATGTTTCTCTCTCTCTCTCCCTCTCCCTTCTTCTCTGAAATCATTAAAAAAATATTTACAAAAACAAAACACACCAAAAAACAAACAACAACAAAAACATTCAACACTAGAAGCCAGTGGAACAATGCTTTCAAAGCTGACAAACTAGAAAACTTAAGAATTTTGCCCTTAGCTAAAGTATTATTCAGCTACAAAGGCAACAAACATTTCAAATATGTAATAACTCAGGAAATATAGTTGATGTCCTAAAAGAATAACAAAAGTCAAACTTCAGTTAAACAAAATATTACTGATATGACCCAGCAATTTCACTTCTGGGTATTTATCCAAAGGAAAGGAAAACACTAAGTTAAAAAGATATCTGGGCCCACAATGTTCATTGCAGCATTATTTACAATAGCCAAGACATAGAAACAAGCTAAGTGTCCATCAATGGGTTAATAGATAAAGAAAATATGGCATGTATAGGCAATGGAATAGTATTCAGCCATAAAAAAAAGAGAAATATTGCCATTTGTGACAACCTAGATGAACTTTGAAGATGTTATGCAGGTGAAGTAAGTTAGACAAAGGAAGGCAATTACCATATGATCTCGCCTATATCTTAAATCTGAAAAAAACAAGACAAAAATTAGATCACTGATACAGGTTATCAGAGGTGAGGGTGGGGCATGAGTAACATAAATAAAGGGGGTCAAAAGGTACAAACTTCCAGTTATAAAAAAAATAAGTCCTGGGATGTAATGACTGCATGGTGACTATCTATACTAATAAAAGCATAGTATGCTAATTAGACCAGGAGACCTTCTGGACGTCCTTTCAGACAAAGCCATGGTGATGGGGCTGAGGCAGAGGCTGTTAGGGGCGATCAGGTCAGGAGGGGAGGGCAGTTGGGGGCAATCAGGCCAGCAGAGGGAGGCAGTTGGGGGTGATCAGGCAGGCAGGCAGGGATCTGGCCTAAACTGGCAGTCGGGCATCCCCCAAGGGGTCCCAGATTAGAGAGGGTGCAGGCTGGGCTGAGGGACAACCCCCCCCCCCATACACAAATTTCACGCACCAGGCCACTAGTCTACTATAATAATCTATAATAATAAAAATGTAATATGCTAGTTAGACCAGACGTCTTTCCAGACATCCTTCCGGATGAAGCTGGGGCTGTGAGGGAAGCCTGGGTCCTAGGTGCTGAAGGGAAGCCAGTGCCAGCAGCCAGGGGAAGGAAGGCCTACTCTTGCACGAATTTCGTGCATCGGGTCTCTAGTAGTAAATAATACAGTATTGCATGAGTACTTTACCAGCACCTCGTCTCTGGAGGAGTCAGATGAAGGCAACTGAATGGGGTCCACTGGAGAATCTTTGGACTCAGGAGGATTGCTCTATTCAGAGCTAATTGGTCAACCTTCAACTTTAACCTTCAACTTTTACCGCATTCAAATCAATGAACTAACTGAAAGACTGATTAATAATTCATCATCGTTCTGTACTATGCCACTTGCTGGAGTGTGGTTTGAACATGTAGAAGTAAAATTTTAATAATCATTTTAGTCATACTGATTTTCTCACCTATAGAATTTAGTACCTACAAATAGTTCTCCTATGTTGAGTAACAGAAATGTTTAGAGAGTGAGGTGTCATCATTACAAGTATATTGTAATTAAATATGAGTTAAAAATCCTTAAAAATGTTGTATTGCATGTTTTAAAGTTGCTAAGAAAGTAAATCTTAGAAGTTCTCATCACAAGAAAAAAATTTGTAACTACAGTGGGGCCTTGACTTACGAGTGTTCCGACTAATGAGTTTTTCGAAATACAAGCTGTCTCTCGGCTGATTTTTTGCTTTGAGTTGCGAGCTAAAATTCAGGTTACGAGCCAGCTTCAGATACCCCACCGCTAGTTGGCGCAGCGAACGTCACAGTGAATGCCACATCAGCCCAGCATCACGTGTTTCACTTGTTCACTTTAATGATTTGACATACGAGTAATTTGAGTTACGAGCTCCATCACGGAATGAATTAAACTCATAATTCAAGGCCCCACTGTATGTGTAATGATGGATGTTAGCTAGTTATTATAGTCATTTCACAATATTTGTATACATTGGATCATTGTGTGGTAGACCTGAAACTAACAATGTTATTTGATAATTGTATCTCAATTTAAAAAATAAAAGAGGGGCTGAAACCGGTTTGGCTCAGTGGATAGAGCGTCGGCCTGCGGACTGAAGGGTCCCAGGTTCGATTCCAGTCAAGGGCATGTACCTTGGTTGCGGGCATATCACCAGTGGGAGATGTGCAGGAGGCAGCTGATCAATGTTTCTCTCTCATCGATGTTTCTAGTTCTCTATCTCTCTCCCTTCCTCTCTGTAAAAAATCAATAAAATATATTTAAAAAAATTAAAAAATAAAAGAGGGTCTTTCTTGGGTTAGTCATTTGATACACTTTCCCAATGATATATTTCTGTTTTTGCTAAATAAATAAATAAATTCAAATGTAAAAGAAGAAAAACACGGCATTATAGCAATTTGTAAATTTTTAGCCTCACTGGTGAAATAATGCTAAAGAATAAAGGTGAGATACATACATACCAGCTTAACTTTCCACTCTCCCTCCCCTCCTTATGAGAGTTATTTTACCTTAATATGGCACAGTGTGTCTCAGTCACATCCACATCTTCACAGCTTGGGTCTTAAGAACTTGAACCTGTGTCAGCTTCTGGTTTTTACAGAGTTCTTTCATAAGAACAAAAGAAACCTTTTTGCTATTTATTCACAGTTTTTACCTTTCCATTTAAAAGGCAAAAATGGGTCCCCTCTCTCTCTTTTTCTCTCCCTCTCCAGGGAGCACTCCAGTGCCATTCCCTTCCCTCTCTCCTTCTCCCACAGGCATGCATCCCCTAACCTCTAAGGGACTCTACGAGACTTGCAACCAAGGGAGCAATGGGCAGCAGCATCTTGTCCAGGGCTAACCCCCTGGACCTGTCTCCAAGGCCCCCATTCTCTACTTCCCAGTGAGCTAAGGCAGTCCAGCCTAGGACTCTCCTATTGCTTCTTCCGTGCCCTTCCTTGTTTTGCTGTCCTAAATATACTTTTGCTGGGGTCAATAAATTCTTGGTTGCTTTTCAACACTTTGTCTCTTGATTGAAATCTTTCCCTCAAGAAGACAAGAACCAAGGGCTCCTTGTCTCGCCGCTCCCCTGCCTGCTGCAGGGCTTCAGCCCTTACCCAGCACAAGCTCGCCAGACCAAAGCCACTTCAGACGTTCACAGTTTCCTGGTCAGAGTGAGCCATGACGAGGACTTCACCATGTGCAGACCACTTCCTTGTTTTGATCTGGTATATTTTCCTCAATTATCACATCTCACAAAAAGGAAGGAATAAGCAGATGTCCAAAATCTTTCTAAATGGTGAACAGTGGAAGTACTTGACATTCCTTAATCTGTTCTTGCAGGCCATTTTCTATGGGGTCACCTACATGGAAGATGTGCTGAAGAGAATTAAAGGGAAAAAAGACATTAAGTTAATAACCACCTTCAGAGACCTGCTTTTCACCGCACTGGCTTTTCCTGTATCCACATTTGTATTTGTGTCCTTCTGGATCCTCTTTCTCTACGATGGAGAACTCATTTACCCTGCGGCCCTAGATGATATCTTTCCAGTGTGGCTCAATCATGCCATGCACACGTTCACGCTCCCCTCCTCCCTGGTTGAAGTCATCTTCAGGCCACACTGCTATCCATTGAAGAAGAAAGGCCTCACCGTGTTGGCTGCTGCCAGTCTTCCTTACATTAGCAGGGTCCTATGGATCTACTCTGAGACTGGTACGTGGGTATATCCTGTGTCTGCCAAACTCAGCCCCGTGGGTCTAGCAGCCTTCTCTCTCAACTACATCTTTACTGCCTGCATCTACCTACTTGGAGAAAAGCTCAAACAGTGGAAATGGGGTGACAAGAGGCAGCCAAAGAAAAACATGTGATTATATGCTGTCTTTCAAGAATTCAAAAGGAAGAAAACACAGGAGGGTGGGGGTTTTTTGTTTGTTTGGGGTTTTAGGGTTTTGTTGTGTGTGTGTGTGTGTGTGTGTGTGTGTGTGTGTGTAGGTGGTGGAGACACATAAGAAAGAAAGGACAGGAAACAATATTTAAATTTAAGAAGAGGGTTATGAAGGTAGCTCAATTTGAAGACTTGGGTTTTAAAAGGCTTACTGGCCATGCAAAAATAACTCCTGCTATCTTAAAATTTGTTACCTTTGTCTGAACTCTGTAGAGTTCTGACCATAACCCAAAGAAACTCATAAACTCAGTGTTAGAGAATGTTTAGACAGAGAAAGGAATGTAGGATCATTCAAATTCTTCACTTTACAGAGGAGGTTGCTGAAGACCTAGATGAGAAGTTACCTGCATGAGGCCAAAGAGTTAGTGTCAAAACTGAGCCAAGAGCTTTTGTCTCCCAGATATTTTAACTCCCAATCCTGTGCCATTTTTTAATAATCCCAACTTTCCTAAAAACAAGCATTTTCATAAGCTAGTTATTTTCACGAATTTCTTATCTATTTTTCTCCCCTCAATCGAGACAGAAGTATAAGGAGATTCTCCTCGTATGGTATAATAGCAAATTATTTGGGATAATGAGAAGATAAGTTATAAAAAATATTGGGAACTCTTTCCCCCTTGTGAACAAGCATTCTAGGCAGGTATAAACACATAATGACATTGTCAAAATCTCTTCCATTCAAGTATTGATTAACTTGTCAAATAAATGTACATTTTACTTGGGAAACAGTTTAAGTGGGAAGTGATATAATTATGAGGACTGCTGAGATTGCTTTGGTACAAAGTACTTTGCTGAGCTAATTTATGATTTAACAAAACTGATTGTCAGCAAGCACATTCATGAACCCTGCTTCAATTTTCCTAATGGAATTTTCCAGGTCTGTTTTTGTAAAGAAATATGTGGTGGGTAAAAATAGTCAAATCTGCCCTGACCAGTTTGGTTCAATGGATAGAGCGCTGGCCTGTGGACTGAAGGGTCCCAGGTTCCATTCCAGTCAAGGGCATGTACCTTGGTTGTGGGCACATCCCCATTAGGGGAGTGTGCAGGAGGCAGCTGATCGATGTTTCTCTCTCATCAATGTTTCTAACTCTCTATCCCTCTCCCTTCCTCTCTGTAAAAAATCAATAAAATATATTTTTAAAAAATAAATAACTAAAAAGAGTCACATGAGAAAAAAAGGGTTTAAAAAAAATAGTCAAATCTATTGGTGTGTCATAAAGCCCAGGGGAGTTGGGCACCAAAATAAATTGTACTTGGGCTTCCCAACCAAACATGATACAGGAGAAATTTGGTGAAAATGAGTAAAACCTGATAACACTGTGTCTGGAACTAAATTAAATCTTGATTGCTACATTTAAAAAATTAATTAATTAAAATAAAAATAAATAAAAGGCAAAAATGCACTTTTTAAAAAATCCTCACCCAAGGATATTTTCCCATTGATTTTTAGAGAAAGGGAAAGATAGAGAGAAATATCGATGTGAGAGAAACACATCAATTGATTGCCTCCTGCACAAGCAGGGCCCAGGCTAGGGAGGAGCCTGCAACCGAGGTACCTGCCATTGACCAGAATTGAACCTGAGACCCTTCGGTCTGCAGGCTGACGCTCTAGCCACTGAGCAAAACTGGCTAGGGTGATTTTTTTTAAAACTCGTAAAGCAAAGCTCCCAATTCTCAGGACATAGAGAGTCTCATAGGTTTCCATTCTTCTGGCTATCTCTCTGGCTTATATTAGGTGTCCATTTTTCTGGCTATCTCTCTGGCTTATATTCATTTATTAAAAAAATATTTACTGACCTTCCCAAAAAAAATTATTTACTGAGAACCTGTTATGTGCCAGGCTCTGTGCAATGTACAGGGGATGGCACAGGAAGCAAAAGCACGCACAGTCTGCTCTCGTGGAGCTTCTAGCAGGGAGAGAGCATTCAATGAAATAAACATGAAGGGTAACTTGTGATTAATGTTGGGAAGAAACAGCACCAGGTATCCCCAAAGCTGCATCCCAAGTTACATTGATCTGGTTTGGGATCAGGAAAACTTCCCTGAGGAAGCAATGTTTGTACTGAGGTCTAACAAAGTCATATAAGTTAATTGAAGGGTGGAAGTAGAATTAGGGAGCAGAAGCATTTCAGGTAATACAAACATCAGACTACTGTCTTTTGGTGGAAAGCTGTGTGAGAAGTTTGAGGAAATGGAAGAAGAGCAGGATGGTTGCACCTAGAGAGCAAGGGGAAGGGTGGAGAGAGAGGTCAGGGAGAGTGGAACAAGCATGACATTGAAGGCCATGGTTTCAAAGGTGTCACATAATAGGACACCATGAAAGAGCTTTTATCAGGGCAAGTTAATTCTCCTACTCAAAACTCACTATACTTTCAGTTCAACCTAAAACTTGTCTTTAAAAGTTTATTAATTTTTTTAATGACGGAGAACACAACGAATGGGATGTTAGATTATCCACTTGTTCCTCATCCCCCTAAATCCACTCTTCGACCTTCTCCACCCTGCATGAGGGCTGATTCCTATTGACCACATAACCCGGGGCCTTCGCCCTCTGGTTGCCCACTGGGACCTGCCCATGGGAGACATCTGCTGATCAAGGGAGGAGATCCTCTCCTTATTGAATTACCCTGAGTTGCTATTTGCCTCCACCAAAGGCCCTCTCCCTGCACCTAGGGGCATTTATTCTAGCTCCTGATAACTGTTCCCTCTCTTTGCCCCTTCAGGCATATGGGTGACAAGAGAAAAGTTTTGAAATGGACTAAATGAAATTACAGCAGGTAGAAGGAACAAGGAAGAAGAGACAAGGAGTTAGTCAACAGAGTGAAGATGCTTCAACATCCCTGTGAGTAAAGTGAAGATAGCAATACACCCACCACAGAATGCTGTAAAGCTGAAATGAGGCAATGGATGTTTAGTGCCTGACGCAGATAAGAGGGTTCCACAAAAACCGGAAACATTTCTTCTCAGGCCTTGGAGAGGGGGTAAAAGAAAGCAGATACAGAGATAGGCAGGGACTGCCTTGCTGGCCGTGGGAGAAGTGTAGACGAAACCTGTTAGGATTGGGGAAGAAACTGATTAAAAAGGAAGTCAGGCCTGGCCTCTGTGGCTCAGTGGTTGAGCATCGACCTACGAACCAGGAGGTCATGGTTCATTTCCCAGTCAGGGCACATGCCCGAGTTACAGGCTCGATCTCCAGTGTGGGGCATGCAGGAGGCAGCCAATCAATGATTCTCTCTCATCATTGATGTATCTATCTCTCTCTCTCCCTCTCCCTTACCCTCTGCAATCAATAAAAACATTTAAAATAAATAAATAAATGCATAAATAAATAAATAAATAAATAAAGGCAGGAAGGAAGTCTGTCTGCTGCTTCCATCTCCAGAAAACCAAGGCCACTTCCTCTGATAAAATCATGTCCACCCACTCCCACAGTCTACTCAGTAAGTTGATGGCAACCTCATTCCGGGAGGCAATGGGCAGAGCCTCCTGTGAGTCACCGAAGGTCCCAGTTCCCAACCTCTCACCCGGTTCACCACGTCACAGGCGGGCAGTGCCCTCCAGTAGGGATGGTCCCAGGGACTGTCCCTGGGTGACCCATTACTGCTCTGAGCCTTAACCCCTCTGTCCAGGGAAGACTCTGGATTAGCCAGGGATCCCACAGGGGTGGATGGGACCATCTAAGGAGCATTATAAAAATACAGCCTCCTGCGGCTCAGCCCTCAGAGCTCTGCACTCTGGTGCTAAGGCCTAGAGACTCTGTGGTGCAACCAGGTAGAAGCATCCAGAAGGCTCTGTGGATTCAGCAAGAGCGGAGTTCCAGTCCTGGACCCATCACTTGAGAGTCACGGACTTGGGCACACCCTCTCTGAGCCTTGGTTGTCTCATAAGTGAAGGGGTGAGAACAGAGGGCCCTGCAGATCCACACTTGATTTCTGTGGGTAAAGGCATGGCCTCCAGAAAGCCACTCTCTGGGGAGATGGAAGTGTCAGACCACACTCACCTCTAATCCCAGTGAGGGTGTGAGATGCAGAGGGAACAGAATGGGCCTGTGGGTCTTGTTTCTGCCTGTGAACTACAGGGGAGGGCGAGGGACCAAGAGCCAGCTGGATGCACCTGGGCTGGGGCTGGGGCTGGGGGCATCTCCACCAGCACCTCCCCCCTCCTTTTCCAGGGGCTGTAGCTGGACAGAGACTCCTGGCTGCCTTTCCTCTCTGGAGAGAGCCTGAGCTGGTCCTGCTGCTGCCCCTTCCCCTGCAATGAGAGAAAGAGGCTGAGAGGCACTCAGAGAAGCAGAGAAAAGGAGAGCGAGTGAGAGACAGAGACGGGACTGACTCCTAAGGAGATGGGAAAGTCTCTGGCAGAGACAGGGCGTTGAGGTGGGAGGGGAGAGGCCCCAGGCAGCCCAGGTCAGGACCACACCCATCAGCATGAAGGTGGGGACTGAGGGGCCGATATCATGGCTCTTGGTCACTGACCACAGGGGAAGCTCTTTGGCAATATCAGAAAAGAAGAAGCCAGATTTTAAAAGGAAGTGCTGTTCGTTCTGGGCAGCCGTGTTTGGGGAGGGCTCCCACCTCCCAGTCCTTGGAAGGAGCCTGGTCCTGCCTCTCCGGTGGTCAGATTAGCCTGAGGCAGCCCCTCCACAGAGCCTCCCCTCCGGCCTAGAGGCTCTGCTTGTTTTCTCATCCTCCCGAGGAGAGCAAGGCCATGGGTCTGCCCCTGCTGCTGCTCCTGCTGCTGCCCCTGCTGCCGCCAGCATCTCTGCAGGCTGGTGAGTGGCCAGGACCCCCTGGCTCTGACCAGGGCCCCGGGGGAGCCCCAGGGAGGGGCTGTGGCCAGCCAGGCTTCCCACCTGCAACAAGCAGTGGGCTGGGCTGGTCCCACAGTGCTAGGTCCCCCACATCCCTCACCCTCCTTTCTACCCGCCCTGGAGAGGGGACACCCAGCCAGAGGGCCAGTCCTATTCTCTGCCGCACTCCTGCCCGTAGGTGAGGGTGCCAGATGGTCCAGGGTTATCTTCTCGGTCCCTCCAAGTGGCTTCAAAGTCCCTCCCTCTCCCTCCCTCCTCCAGGTGGCTCAGCAAAATGCACTTCAAACCTTGATTATGAAGTCAAACAACCAGCACGCCTCTCAGCCCCTGAGGGTGGCTCCATCGACATCCCCTTCTCCTTCTGTCACTCCTTGGAGTTAGCCAGTGATCCCAAAGTGCGTATATCCTGGAGATGGAAAGATTACCATGGAGAGTTCATCTACAGCACAACCCCGCCGTTCACCCATGAGGATTTTAAAAACCGCCTCTCCCTGAACTGGACAAAGGACCAGAGGAACGGCTCCCTCCGGATCTCTAACCTGCGGAGAGAGGATGGACGTAGCTACTTCTGCCGAGTCCAGTTGACCACACGGAACGAAGGTGAGAAGATGTGGCAGTCCATCGAAGGGACCAAACTCACCATCACCAGAGGTGAGTCCCGCTGCCCCGGCCACTGGTGCCCTCGTCCCCCAGGACCGGTCCAGGCGCCTCTCTTCCTGACCTTTCTCTCAAACTCCTCTCCCTGCCCCTGACTGCTTCCCAGCCTCTGCCAGCTTTACCTTTTTCACCATAATCTCCCCAAACGTGGGCTGCCTTCCTTGCCCCTCCCTCACTGCCCCACAGATCCAGCCCCACCGCCATCCCCAGGCTTCAGACCTTCCAGGCTCCCCGGTTATCCTCCTTCTTGCTCCAAGTTGCGGCTCCAACCCTGCCTCCTGCCTTCACCCCATGTCCTCCAGGTGGACTTGACTTTTACAGGAAGTGGCCCGCCTTTCCTTTGTCCTGTGTCTGCAGGTGGAGCCCCAGCTAGCCCCACGTCTGTGTCTCCCCACAGCCATGAGCTCAGCCTGACACACACAGGAGGGACCCGATAGCGGCCCAAGGAATTCCCACCCCTGGTAACACCCCAGCACCTGTTGTCCCAATCTCCCTGCTTCCCAGAACATGGCCCTCAATGCTCCCTCCCCAGTCCCATTTCTTTATTCTCCTCCATCTCCCTCTTCCTGTCTTAATCCTCTTTACCTTCCTTGCCTCTCTCAGGGCTCCACCCACCCCGCCCCCGCCCCCCAACACGGGAGCCTCTATGTTGTCCCTTCTCCGTCCTGCTCCTGTCCCTCTGTCCTGGTTATTAGAAGCCCCTCTGCAACAGCAATAAGGGCAGTTCCTGCTTACTGTGCACTGTCTGGCTGAATCCTTGGTAGGCATTGCCCTAGTGAGTCTGCACCATGACCCCACAATAACAGTAGGTACTGCTATCATCTTTATGTTACAGATGGGGAAACTGAGGCTTTCAGAGCCTAAACACTGGCCCCAAATTCCCACTAGTACCAATGGGATTTGAACCCAATGTAACCCCAGAGCCTACTCTCTGAACCACTAGCCTCTTACCTCACCTATTGACTTGATCATCTTGTTATCCTGACCTATTTTTAACCCAATATGGGGGGTGTTGCATTAATAGTTCTTTCTATATTGCTTAGTGGGGCATGGAATCTTAAACATGGGTTTTCCTGTCTCCAGAGCAAATACTGGGAAATTCCACTTATAGTATCTAGAATAGTCAAATTCATAAAAACAGGAAGTGGAATAGTGGTTGTCAGAGGCTGAGAAAGGAGAGAATGGGGAGTTGTTCAAATGGGATGAATTTTATTTTGGAAAGAAGTGTACGATGATGAGAGTTCACAACAATGTAAATGTACTTACTGCCACTACATTGACTTAGATATGGTTAAAATGGTAAATTTTGTGTTATGTGTCTTTGACCACAATAAATGGGTTTTTTCAGTCCTGTGATCTAGTTATCTCTATTTGTAGGTGATGAAATGAGGTTCTGAGGTCACACCACTGATCGGTGGTAGATTCAGGATTTGAACTGAATGATGTATGTGATAAGCCTTCAGCATTCCACCTTGTTACTCCCCTCCTGGTGTGAGAGCTTCAGAGGGTTGCTCCCCACCCCCAATGTTCCCCAAACTAGGGAACAGGATGTGACAGTTTCACCCAGATACTTCCAGTCCTCTAAGGAAGAATTTGCTTGTTTCTCATGTCTTCTCAGCCACTGAGAAAACCACCAAGGACCCCACCAGCACCACCAGCACCACCAGCACCACCAGCACCAGCACCACCACAGATGGCCTCGGTGTCTCGGGGGACAAAGGGAGATCAGAGTTTTGGCCCTTCAGTAAGGAAGTTGTGGTCAGCATGGCAGTGGTCAGCACTGTGCTCAAAATTGCAATTTTGGGACTGATGATCTACCTCAGGTGGAAGAGAAGCAAAGGTGAGTGGTCCAGGACCCTTCTCTCTCCCCAGGCTTCCCAACTGGGTGTTTCTCCTAATCACCTGCACCAGGATGATTGCCGATCCCTGCTGGGATGAGGTCTAGTCTTGGGAATCGTCATTGTTAATGCTCTCCTCAAGTGCTGTCTGGGAGTGATCAAGTTTGAAAATCATGGCTCTAAACCAGCCCCTCTCCACAACTTTCCTTGACTTAATCACTTCTCATCCATCCTCACCTTTTTGTTCATGGAGAGGGGAGGGTCTGCCATGAAAAACTGAGAGAGAAGAAGAAACAGGAAGTTGACTGAGCTCAGCAAGCATTGGTGGGGTACCTGTTTTCTAGGGCCTGACTTGTAATTAGAGATACAAAAGTAAATAAAGCCAAGACCCTTTCATGGAACTAACTGGGGAGGGGAGGGGTGGGGCCTGTTGCCTGAAGGGCTTATTGCTTCATTTGGAAAGAGCTAAAGTAGTTGCGATAAAGGAGGGGGTAACCAAGGAGGACTTCCCAGAGGAAGTGACACCTGCAAAAAAGCCTCAAAGAATAAAAAAGAATTAGCCAGGCAAGTGGCAAGGATGGTGTAGAGGTCACTGTTCTTTCAGGAGAAGGAAACCGTTTGTGGAACTGTAAGTAGCTCAGTGCTATGGAGGAGGCAAGAGATGGGGAAAGAGGACCTTGTAAATCACTTTCAAGAGCCTTAGATCCCAAAGGCAATGTGAAGCAGCCAGATGGCAACCTCACTTGGTATTGCAGATACATCCAGTCTGCAGTGGAGGGACCAGGACATTAGACTTCCCCATCCAGTCCAATGCAGTGCCAGCTTGAGTGGAAAGAGAGCAACAGATCTTGGAAAAGGCTAAGAAGGAACAAGTAAGATATGGGGGTTGGATTGATGTAGGTGTGAGGGAGCCAGAAGTCCCATGTTTACAACTTGGGTGAACAGGCTGTGATGAAACTACCAAGTGAATTAGGGAACATAAAAGGTCAAAGACCATGGTTCAGGGAGAAAAATGATTCTTCAACTAGATGAGCATCAGCACTTATAATTATTAAGCTACAATAATTAAAGTGATGCAATGCTAGCATATAAAAGATAAAGTAAGGGAAGAAAAGAAAAAATTCAAATATAAGCAGGATAAAAATACTAGTAGACCCAAATATATGCAGAAATTTAGTAGGTTAAAAGGTAGCATGTATAATCAATACATATTATTAGAACAATTGCATAGCCATTTGAGAAAAATAACATTATCTCCCTACCTTATCATTTGCACCAAAATAATACTAGCATTTAATATTTCAGAGTTTTCATTCCCAGTGATTAACAAAAGTAATGTCCAGGGTATGGCAGGGTGGAGTGGAGGTCACTGGAGTTGGGCGATGGGTGAGTCCAGTGCCTGAGGATGGTCCCTGTGGATGATGAGACCTCACAGGAAGGTGGGCAGTGGTGGAGAGGATGTGTGTGAACCGGGGCCAAATGCTTGGGAATTGCTGTAGAGACTTGAGAAGGAGGTGGAGGGGGAGAGTGCAGGGAGGTGGGGAGGAACAACAGAGTCCTCGGTGGAAGAGAGGGACAGGCTGCAGTGTAAACACAGATTCCAGCCTTGAGGTTCAGAGGTAGGAGAGAGAAACAGCCACCACTCAAAGGAAAGCATAAGAAGCTGGTTTGTCACAGCAGGAGGAGCGATGGTGCCTGAGGGGGGCAAGGGAGGGAAGGTGGCCCAGGCTCAGCAGTGGAAGGAGAAGGTTGAGGGATTGCAAGGAGTTGAAGGAAAGAGGAAGGAAGCAGAGAGAAAGTTAGGGAGAGAGGGCAGGGTGAAGGCGGCACAGGGTGCAGAGAAGAGCTGCTCTCCTGATTTGGTGTTGAGGACAAAAGCAGGAGAGGTGTGGGCAGCCTCAGGATGCCAGCTGGTGCCACTCTGAGTCCTAGGCCCTTCCAACAGGGGTTCCAGCAGAGCTGCTTTGCGGCCCTGGTTTATCCAAGGATGGTCTCAGAGTAGGATGAAGCAGAAAGGCAGGAGGAGAGATGCTGTTCATGGAAGGCACACTGACATGCTGTTGGTTCCTCTACAGGTCTGTGAACTAAACCAGAGCCCCAGCTAGGTGAGTGTTTGTCTTCAAAGTGAGACATAGGGGGGGGGGGTGACTTAGGAAACAGGAAGCTCCTTATGAGAACAGCGCTAGAAAGCCTTTCACAGCTGCTCTCATCCTCGACTTTCCCATCCGCGTTTTCTTATGTTCCATAACAGGTCAGCACTTCTCTTACTAAGAACAGAGGATCTAATTACTTTCTCTGATTCTTTCCCAGAATGTCTCCCTTTTCTCTTTCTCTGGTTTCCTCTTTTCACCTTCTTTTGTCCTTCTTCCTACGTTTTTCCTTCTGTTCATCCTATTTTCTTTCCATCTTGGACATCCTCCTTCTGGAACACATCTACCTTTCCCACATTTTCCTCTTTTTGCTCATTGTACTTTCTGCCTTTTTCCCTGGTGAGGTGCTCAAAGGAACCACAAGAATCATCTGCCTCCATCACCTCTACCATCTGCCTTTTCTCAGAGCACCTTCCCCCCTCCGCTCCCAGCCTGGCCTCCTCTCCTCTGTGCTGGCATCTCCTTCCTGCCCTGAGCACTGGTCCTCCTCACCCTCCCACCAGTTTCCTTTTCTCCATCCTTCTTCCCATTTCTACACTCTCCCTTCCCTAAACCCCCTCCCGCCTTTCTCTCCCTCCCTGACTTTTGCCAGCTGCCTTACTCACCCATCCCAGGATGGTGTCTCCTCCTGGGGACCGAG